CTCCCTCAGTCATGCTCTTTCCCTAACTAATCTGATGTTATTTCGACTGAGTTCACAGTTTCTGCTCTCCAATTCGATTGCTTCCTGAAAAGTTTACTTTAATCGCGTGAAAATGAATTATTAAACAGTAATTTTGGGCTTTGGTTGGACCGAGTCCTATTTATACACGATTCTGTGCCTTTCATTCTTAGCCAGGCGTTCATTCGTGTCGGACGCTATCCCCGGTACCATCTACTCCAACTTTATTGTTTGATTATTCAGTCAAAACTCTGGTTGAAATTCCTCTACCAATAGCCTTGGAGATCGAACAAGCAAAACACTTTCGGATAGGGGTGAGCTTTGCATGACTCTAGCGTATTCAACAGAGGACGAGTAACAATATGCAATAAAGGAGAACAATCTAACTTAGCGTGAATCCAAATCAGTTGAGATGCTTCATGTTACCCCTCTTCCTCGTTACAGGAAGGCCACTCTTCTAACCCACTACCGCAGATTCGATCTGTTCCTTTTGGCTGGAATGTGCTCACTTTATCAAACTGAAGCTATAGTTCTAAGGCTGTCTGGTCTGGTACAGCACCCTATAAATTCCAGACACCATTTTCAACCACTCCGTTGGATGTGTACTGACATAACTGAACTGGTCATCAGTCGTCTGGTGTCTGCTTTTAGGCCGATCGGCATGCACAGTCCTGGTTTAGTCCTGCCAACACCAAACTTCCATTACTGCCAATCTAATCAGGTCGTGTGCTTTGCCGCCCAACGCATCTGGTTCTACATCGTTTGTCTGCATGCACATAACTGGGGTGAGTCACTTGAAGATGCAGTGAGACTGAAATAAAACGGAACCGTGAGATCTCCATTCACCTAGCCCGTTTTAGACCACAGCATCAATCAAATCATTGTTTGTATGGATAGGTATCTGAACTTCGGCTCCAAACTGGGTCGATGATGACCACCTGCGGAGAAAATAGTGTCGCAAAGTTCTGAGGCAAGCCCTTGGTCTATTTACTCGAACTGTGGTCGTGGTCCGAATCATCTACGTTCCCCATAGGCATAACTAGTCGAAGAAAATGCTCGACAAAACATCAAAACTTCTGTCAGCAGGCCAGCTCTTCCCTCATCTGGTCTATGCTGTTAGATATTCCATCCATATTTCGTTTGGAAGTGGATTCAAGTTGTGAAAACTGCTTCTAGAGTGCTTTGAAGCTTGTTCCCAGAACACCACAGTGGCACAAAGAGACACTTCACGATTCAAAGACTCTTTTGACAGGTTCTTGGAGAGAAAGGTCTCTTACGGAAGAGCCGCGTTGTATCAATCATGGAGCTACAATTCAAACACCTTCAGAATTTAAACGTAACCCCGTTCACGCTGATGAATGGGATTTTGGGAGTGTCTAGAAGACATGAACGAAGATAAGCTTTCAGTCAGTAATTCACTTTAAAACTTGACAACCTTAGTTCCACAAAGCTTTGGAACTTTGGACTTTCATGTCCAATCTGTTGTATGATACTTTGTTCTGAGGTACTCTGTTGTTTTCAACTGTTGTACAGCATTTCTCATAGTGAAATAAAGCTCTTCCTCCTTCCATCAATGTACGGAGTTGCGAATTGTTCATGAATATGGTTTGTTAATCTTCTTCGTAGCCAGCATCTCCATCGATTGTTGCATTTTGTGGGAAACATGCATCCGTTAGTTCCCAAGTTTGCTTATCGGGCGAGATGGCCCAAGTGGTTAGAGCTCGAATTTAGTAACCGGAAGGTCCATGGTTCGAACCGGACCTCTTCCTCTCGACTTACCCTGTCTAGGTTTGGGCAAGCTGGCAGTATCTCAGCCCTCGTGCTTCATGCGGGTGGCATGGCAGCTGAGCACCGAAAAGGTGCTACAGCTGAACGGTTTTTTTTACTGTTCTGATTGCCGAGTTTCGCAGTTGGACTGAATGACCCAAAACAATTTAGCATCCACGTCCAATGACTGGTGTAAATGAACCACATATTAATAGTGATGACACCGAGACGAACCACTGTTCGCTATAAGAGGACTACTTTCCCACTCTAATTTCTCGTTGTGGATTGATATTCACAGACCAGGGCCCTGGTTTGTGGGAGCCATTCCACTCTGGTGCAGTTTTTACAGTACGCTTCTGCATGATCAGATTTCCCAATGAAACTGACTGACTAATATTGCTTAAAAAAGCTCATGTTGGAGAAAAATGCATTCTAAGCTAGATCTCCTTCACAGTATTCTGTTGTGATCCGTCATCACTCTCATCACTGATGGTTACAACTTGATATAACACTATTCGAGTGATTGGATGGATCGCACTTACGCTCGTCCTTCTCTTTTCATCTTGCCGAGACAAAAACAAGATAGTGAAAGTGTGAAAATGAGTAAAGGGAAGCATCACACCAAACAAGTACAAACGAACTACATCCGAATTCGGACATTTCCCCGCATATGCTTGTTTCACAAGTGTGTTTACGTCTCTTTTTTCGGACAATGCACGCGGCCTGTTTACACGACGTAGGGCGTGTGCCAAACAGTGTTTGTTGATCTATATATGTGTCGATGATTATCCTACAAATAGGTTTTGGTACCCGCTATTACTGCAAATCTGTAATTAAATAATGTGTATTGTAATTGATTTTCATTGGGTACATTCACCCATTCCTTTAGCGCGGTCCGAAATCCCACAGAGCCTGGTATGTGATGGGTCTCAGGGACATGCACATCATGAATGTGCGTGAGATCTGTCAAACCACAACTCTTCACTTGTTTATCTGTCGGATTTTGTATACAGGTCTATTGAGCTTATGCGTGAAAAGAAGTCGCGTTGCAAAGAAGTTTCCCCACTTATTCTGACAAGATATTCAACAGGCTTTATTACGACACTACTCACAAACCGTCAGTATAATAGTGTCAGCAGTGTCCTCTAAGGTCTTAGATCCTTTCCACAGGGTGTTCTGACCTTTAAGTTTTATCTTATGTGAACCAAAAAGTAGTCATCTCTACCCGTACATAGTAGTTGAGCACTGATATTGATTAGACTGTGCGAACCCAAAATACCTGCGAAAGAAACAGGTGAATAAACTACCCGAGAATCTCATTCATACTGCGCGTCATACGGCCATTCCAACACGAGAGAGATAACAAACCTCCTGTTAGCAAGTTCACGGTGCTAGCCACTCGTTGTCATAATCACTGTCCTACAAGCGCTGCAGCAAGAAGTCTGTGGGAATGATTTCCTCATTACAGGCCGCGCGATCACTGGGTCTCTTAGGAAGTCTGTAAGCGACTAGGTTTTTAAAAGCTATGGTTGGAGAAGCAACTTATACGCAGGTAGTGTCATTCAGTTTTTTGACGATAGTAAAGCAGGAATATATATAT